CGCGCGCACAAACACATTAATAATACAATATAATATACTATTACTACCTGCTTCAATAAACGCTTTATATCTAAAGAATTCTAAGTTGTGCGATTTCCGACACTTGTTGCCGTACCGACATACGCCTCGCATGTGAAACTCACACATTCTTGATGACATTTTGAGTGCAGTGGTTAACATAAACTATACGATAGACGATCTTAAATTTAATTTATATGGCTCAAAGTTAAAATATGGAAGTCTATCTGGTTGGCTATAAGAATACGGGAACGTACCAACTAGACCTTTATTGTCTGATGAATCAATGAAAGTTCTGAACTTGGATGAGTGCTGCTGATCCAGGGATATCCCACCTGCACCACATTTTTACAGTGCTACCACCATAATTTAGCCCTTCCAGTGTTAACACTATGACCTATTTCCCTGATAGCTCATGAAAAAATCTATAGTGTCATGACTCATGACCCCGCTGGATTTCGGTATTTGATTTTAATTTTTATTGTAAATAATATGAAGAACATATAGTTTGGATGACTTAATACAATTATTACAGMATTCCAACATATTTTATTATTATATCATTGATGTCAAATATTTAACCAATACGTAACGCACAAAGCGCGCAACGATTGCGCACTTATTACATATTTGTATTTGAGCAAACACAACTAGATTGGGAAAACAAATATTTTATATTATAGGATTTAGAGAAAATAACAATAATAAAATTGTAATAATTAATAATAATTTAATACGTATACCAAGTAGAAAATATTGAAACTTAGAACGTCACACAAAACAAACAAATCAACTTGTAAACTTGCAGAACAATTTTTATTCGTTCAGCGTTACCAAATATTTCCACACTTTTTCAGAACTTTAAATTTACTAAATTTATACCCATCAACTAAAATACATGGCTTACCTTTTTCGGTTTCAACTTTTTTTTTCTATTTGTGTCTCCATTTTCTAAAAACAAAATTTCACAAAAAAAAAAAAACGGTAATATACACGTCGCGTGATATGAGACTATAATTTCACGTTTAGATATGYGAGTATATGACTGGCGACTATTAGCGACTGTCCGGACTGGTAAAATAAATATTATCCAACTTGATTATCGACTAAATATTATTGGATGTTAATACGTTGGAAAACACTTACCTATCAGTTATTGGTAATGAACTTTTATTATTATATAGTATCCATTGGTCGTAGGAATAGTATAATAGCCATAAAAGTACAATGTATAAACAAATAAAATAGTTTTTGTGCGCAATTGAGTTATGTTTGTTCAAATATAAAAAGGTAAAAAGTGCGTAATCGTGTTGCGCCGACGAGTGTTTCCAGTTGCCACATGCACGAAATATTAATGCGATTTTAAAATAATTAATAATTTTTCTTAAAAAATCTGATCATTTTGTTATTGAATATCCCATGTTTATATTTCCAGTAATAAACTATCATTTAAATTTKCATGCATATTTTCTATGCAAAATATAATTTGGATGTTTCATATCTGCTAGGCTCATATTTTTAAGATGGTAAGCATATTTTTAATAAAAAATTTTATTAAAATGCTAATAAATGTTGAAGTCAAAAAATAATTTAAAAATACAAGAAAACWTTTTTTTAATAAATTGTTTGACAAATTAAAATATGTTTTCAGATATTGTATATTCGGATAAATAGGTTAGTTAATAATAATAATAGATTAATACTTTTTACCAAAAAAAATAATCAATATATGTGAGCTGTGTTATATTGGTATGAACATGCATGTACGACGTACGTGTGGTAACGCTCCGTTATTTATTTTCAATACAATCACTCTGCATTCTCACAAAATATGATCATTTACATTTTACTACCGTATTACACTTATGTAGACTCCTCTAAAATATTAGAACCATTTAGCGTAATCCAGAGAACACTATGTGGAGGTGGTTCTAGTTATCCACCAAAAATATTTGAAATTTTAATTGCATGTATATACTTCTTTATTCATATTTTATTATTAGAAAATATTCATCGTCATCGTCATTCTAGTATTATTAAAATTATTAAGTATTACCTTCAAATCAYGTGTTGATTGTAGATGTTGATTATTTTTTGATGTAGTAATAATGTGAAATTGTTTTTATATAGTGAAATGCAGTTATTTTTTGTTTTTTATAATTTTGTATTAGCTGGTTTAATAATTGCTGTCGTCTTTTTAATTTATTATTATGGCAACTATTTGGTCTATGTATACTTTGYAATTTTGTGTACATTTCTGATTGAATATTTTTTAATGTATCAATAAAAATAAAAATATTTGGATGGCTATGTTTAAAATTTTATTTAAAATGGGCATGAAATGATTCACAAGCATTGGTGGATTTTGTCAATTCGGAAGAAGTTTCTGTCCAGATTATATTATATTAAAGTATCACTCGAAACACAAACGATGTTATAAATTTAAAACAAAATAATATATCAAGTCACGATGACARTATTTCAGTATTTGGTTGACTGAGAAGGGAAAATACTAAATAGTTAGACCCAGTTATCTTTTGAAAGAAACTAAATTATTGTTATATATTCAAAAAGTCTAGAAATCATATATTTCTACAACGTACCTATAGGTACATTAATATCGTTAATATCGACAGACAACAGTGAAYATATAAATAAAAATAATTGACCATCAAATCAATATAATATGTACTAAATGCCGATACATGTTGTAATTTAATAATATATATGATATATCAATACTTACTATAATCTCACTTTACATATATAATATAGTACCTAAACGATTAAATTTTAACTGCAAGTATTGATAAAAATCCGGACGATCCGAACGGAATGGTTGAAACTGAAAAAATAAAAATACCTCAGCAAATATTAATTTATAATAATTAAATATTTAATCATAATCATGCCCTTGTGGCRTTGAAATTTTAATAAATAAAAATAAATAAATAGGTTCCGTGTTTAAACAGCAAACATTTTTTAGGGGAATTTTCGTAAACGTAATACTGCAGCAAAATGGTTTTAGGAGAATTTACAAAATTTTATGGAACATGGAAGTTTACATGCGCTCGAGTATAGATATTATCTATACTCAATTTCATTTATTACTCACATAATTACACTTACACAACCCGTGTGCAAATAGCGTTATACTATAATAGTGTTATTTTATTGTATGTACGTGAGGCCTTTGGAGGCGCCAATGTATTGGACGTGAGCCCCATCTGTTCTGCCCTCGGGACAGCATTGTTCACAACAACCAGTACACCCGCGATTAATTTTCATGCGCGTGTACCTAAACATAAATTCTAACATGATCGACTTTGAAATTGTCCGCGATCGACCGTTTAGCTGCCACTGCCATAGAGTATTAGCATTGGTTCCCAACCCATCGTCGATGCCAAGGGTTAAAAATGTTCAATTGAAATTGACAACCAGATTTTTATATGATTTTATACATGTCATATTTTTCCTATTGTCTTAATTGTGTGTGTTTATATTTCATAAATATATATTTGGTAAGTGGGTCTCAATATTTTCTTTTTCATTTTGGTAGTCTGCACAACTAAAAAGGTTGAGAACCGCTGGAGTATAGTCTATAATATTAAATAAAAATGTGTGGATATATTTTGTGACCAATGTATTAYATTTTTCTTCTTATCACTCGGTATAGGCAATTAATATACAGAACCGTGGTGTGGCTTATTATATATTTATATATAATATTATCTATATAATATACAGCTTATAGTTTATTGTATTTTGCAATCACGATTATTGATAAGTTTAATATCAATAACAACATCACCAATATTGTGAGACACGGTCTAGGTTTWAAACTTTTGAGTTCAATAATATTATTAGTATTGCTATCGATATTTGATAATATTAAATATTAATAATATGTTGTGTTACGGCAAATCGCAAGACAGTGAAAGGTAATAGTAATACGTTTTACTGCAGTAAATTTGTCAAGCGTGGTGTGTTATCGTCTTGTCACCTGCAAGTACAACCATAGAATACTAAGTATAGTATTATAGTATATAGTATATAGTATTATAGTATATAGTATAGTATAGTATTCTATGGTACAACTTTACTATACGATCCCAACGACGACGATGACGACGCTTATGACTTACGCAGACYAAAAAGCTTTTTTTCGGGTCTTACGTCGAATGGCACCACCCGACGACGTTTCAGTTGCGTGTATCTGCCTATTCTGCCTACGAACAGTACGAACGCGAACGCGGCCTACCGATATGGAGACAATCGCGCGCGTTTACGCTCCACTGTTTTCATTGGTGCTAAACGTGCCCTGGGATGAAATACTAAGCTGTCGTACGACATACCGACGCCGCGGCACCGTCACTTACGGCCCGCTGACCAGATCGGCGGGGCCCCGGAACGGTTGGGCACCACTGCGGCCTAGTGTCAGCCGTCTAACGAGCGTCCGATCCTCGACCTGTTCTCATCGTAATCTTCCACCGACAACGCCGAAGGCCACTAACCACAGCTCGTCAGTTCATTGAACATTCTTCTCCCGCACACACCGCGCAGCAGTCGAATCGAGTTCTCTCGCCGCTACAGTGTTAACCTCTCAAGTCTCAACAACTTCGTGATATGGATATGATACCTGATATACCGGTCAACAACTTGAGCCGAGCGAACGAATTCGGTTGGCGCATGCTTGCCGCTGAAACAATTTTCCATTCCCGCTCCGCAGCCAAGGTGAGTGAAAAACAATCGCCAGAACAGCACCTTTTTCCGAAGCTATTTTGCTTGCTCATTCCTAGGTGCTCCACTGTTCTGTAGCTCTGATCGTTGCTGGTTGAAGGTCCTCTCTGATTCCRCACAAAGGTAGTGACCGACTGTTGGTTCTGATGGTCTTATTTTGTTTCTCTATACCTGGGTTTTTCTGTTGGGTCAATTAATTGGAGGATTGGGAGATCAATTGCCTGTTACATAGTCGCATACTCGCATTTACTCGTGCCCACATAATATATCTTTAGTAGTTTGAATAATAGTTAAATGGGTATAAAACAAACCATATCATTGTTTGTCTACCGTTGCAGTTTATTTTTTATAAAATCACTTCATCACAACSCATTCTCCTGCAGCATCTTGTGTTCCTAAGCAAAGTATGTAAATTACCTATACCTATATACCTTCTTAACAAATACAATTAAAACCGTTCTTCTTGATAGTAAATTGTCATCATAATTTTTACATTTTCCTATAGGTACTTACTATTGTATTTATATTTTATATACATAATTATCAATTATAATTAATTTTTATAGAATGAAGCATCAAGCGAGATCAGATTTRAAGTACCTGTGAACATTTGTGAAATCTTTATTCTTTCACCATCTATGTATTTGCGAACTCATAGCGGAGGATTCCTTTTGGGGTAAATAATGGATTTTTAATATTAAAAATAAGTGATTGAGAAGTTGTTACTTATGTGTAGCATAATCCATAAGTATAGTATTATAGACCTATTATTATTTTCTTCTTTTATTATTTAATTTTTTTATTTTAGAGGAACTGAACCTAAAAAATTTCCGATTACATTTCATTGCAACAACGTTGATCAAGACTCTGCTTCAGCTAATGTGAAATTGGGTGAACTCAACTATGAGGAAAATGCATCTACATCATTGAGATGTACCAATGAGGTAACTAAGGTATAAAATTGACTTTAATTTTTTTTTTTTAAATTAAACTTCTTTTGTAGGTATGGACAAACAGATTGATTGTGTTCGCAAAATATTCAGTATTATCCATTGTTATTTATGGAACATCAAAGGATCCTAATGCTAAGGTTTTACAAAAGAAAACTTTCTCAACTCTTCCACCTCTTRGCCCTAAGTTTATAGATGGCATTTATTCTTTTACTCTAAATTGAAGAATTGTATAACGTTCAAATGACTCCAAATTCTAACACTTATATAAATTAAATTACTTCTTAATTACAATACCATTACAGGTAAATTGAATTTTATAGTTTATATTTTGAATCATAAATTAATATTAGTGCTGAGAAGTYATTAAAATCAGTTGGTTTTTGATATCTACAGTTAATATTTATAAGTATTATAAAATTTAGTTTTGTATTTTCAGAGTTTTCTTTAAAAGTGTATTTGTATACATCTATTTCTGTCAAATATTATTGATAATTCAAATTAATAGCACTTTTTTTTCTTTATTTTCATAAAATGTTTTTTAATGATTTTTTTCATCTAATTTATTATTATAACTTTTTAGTATTTATCATTAATTCTTTGGGATCTGGAATGCTTATATGTTTATTATTTGAGTAATTAAAAAAAAATATTAACTTTCTATTTAATTAATATTTATATATATTATTATGTATTGTGTATTATTGGTGTTTTTGGTAAGCTCGACATTATATGAATATTATATTTTATTTAAACAAATTAAAATGTTTTATATACCTATAATAACAAAATTAAAATGTTTCATTATTTATTTGAATTATTTATATAATAAGTTATTTTTACTAAAAACAATAATGAGTAATCTTGGTTAAAATAATTAAGTTCTAAAACTTAAACTTTCTAGAATTTAATATATGATTTAAAATTGTCTTTTTAAATGTAGAACTCTGACTTAAATTGGAAAAATGTTATTAAGATATTGTCATTTATTAACTTAACAAACTTCAAATTAATTTTTTCTGTAAATGGTTTAAATGTTAAATCTCAATCCAAATGTTTTAATGTACTTATATTTTCTTTCCATTTGGAAATTTCTTATTTAATGGTGTATGATAAATGTTATTCAAATAATTTTGATTATCTAAATCAAAGACTATTAATTGTAATATATTGTATTTCAATGTGTTACCGATGTCTGAATATTACTAAAAATAAAAGAATATTTTTTTCTAAAATGTATAACGTTATTCAAACATTTTTATTTACTATTAAACATTAATCTTTACCGTTCGACACAGTATTTAGTTTTGGTAATATAAGTATACCACAAATTAAACGTTGTCAAATAAAAATAATTTATAAATGGTTGTAACTTTCAATGTGATTAAAACCAATATTTTTAACAGGTTATAATAAATTAATATAAAATTAGTAATTATTTTCTTAATCTTAATTTTCTATTTTTAATGTATTTAAATTTAAATCTCTGTTTCTTTCATTTTTAATACTCATTGTTTAAGATGACCCGCATGCTTTAATTTAGAATATTTTATAAATGACATTTGACACTTTTTTTTTAAATGTAGTAGAATTAAAGTATTGCTTGGAAGGATTTGAAATGACTAAATGTACTTAACTACAGTTGATTAATTTTTATTTCATTTGTAATTAAAATATTATTAATTGATTTTCAAAAACTTTTTGTATATTTACTCAAATAAAAAAATTCTTAGAACTATAACAAGTGCACACAAATATGACATACTTGTAAATACATAATATACATGGTCTATTGTTCTACACATTCTACACACATGACTAAATGAGTAAATACCTCTTTAGTATTTGGTCTCTAGCATCTTTATCTTTTCTTGACATTTATATAATATAATATTGTACATCTTGTAATAATAGTTGCAATATGCATAATAATATGAACATAGAACAAAGAATATACATATTATTAAAGCTTGAGGAGCGTAGCTATGGAGCAGTAACATGTAGATTTGATAAAGATTTGTTAGACTATTGCACATACTTATGTTACATTAAATTATTTTTTGTTTTTTATTATTAGTTTATCTAAGTAAAATTAGCTTAGTCAAACTAGTGCTTCTTAAATCTTCTAGGTGGATTCCTAAGATTATGTACTGAGTCAAGTGCAAGAATAAGTGAATTCGGATGTTTCGTAAGTCAAGAACTGAAACACCTGTCTGTAAGAGTATATGGCCCCATTGAATGGTAAACAGTTCTTAGACCCAAATAGAAGCTCTCTAGTCTTCTAGAGAGTAAAAAAAAATTACACTTAAAAATATCAGATAAATCATAATATTATAGGCCGTATAATTTAAAATATTATCATATATAGTTATCTTTAATTATCGATACAACTGTTTTGTATGTCAAAATGAATTATTTCGGTATTTCGATTATAGACATACTGAAAGCCACGTTTAGATGATGAAGAGGAGGTCCATGAATCTGGACAACAAACATTTTGTTTATA